TGAAATTACATGAGAAGGAAGAGCAAAGAGTGTTGAAGATAAAATACAGACTGCAGAGGGAACTGGCGGAAAAGTGCATAAAAAAGGAAAAACAAACGAAGTACAATAATTTTCAATAAAATAAATGATATTTAAAACCAAATTCGAATTCAAATATAAGAAATAGTTGTGGGTCTAAAGTTTCTTAAAATTAGATGAGAAATATAAGCAAAATTTGTATAGGATTGGATATGAAAAGTGAAAAGGGAATGCATAAAAATATGGGAAAGAATTTTAATAAAAGAACAGTTATTAGTACTAACATCCCAATTCAAGTTAAAATGGAATGAAAAGTTAAGTTTCTAAAGTTCCTAGAAAAATAAGATAAAGTATAAGTAAGCCGCTATATAAATTGAAAATTCTATTTATAGTTGGATCTTATGAGAAGTATAATTTAGAGAAGTTAACGGATAGACCAAATAGGAACTATACAAAAAGAAATCGCACTCAAAGAAAAACAGTTCAAGATATTACGTTCTGTTTGATCTCATCCTAAAGCTAAATTATCATCATATTTGTATAAAGAAATACATTTAGATCTAAAATGAAGTCAAGAAGAACGTAATATTTTAATATGTTTTTCTTGTAATTATATTTAAGTTTGTATTATCCCTATTCCAAGAACAAATCGAGGCTTTGCAGATCATTCTTTTAGTGTGAAGTCCAATACTGAAAGATTTACTGCAATGCGTGCAATGAGCTTCTGGATGGTCTAGATGGATAACGCTGAAAGGACTTTATTAGGTGTTCTATGCTTGGTGCTATGGCATCTATAATCTCTACAATTGCATCTTGATATAGACTTTAGATCAAAATTTATAGCTATACAATAAATTGCTTAAGAAGTGGAACAGGAAGCTCTATTTGATGTTCCGGCAAGACTAAACGTAACGAATTTATTAAGAAATTTTAATTTATATACATATTTCATTGATGGATCGGCAGGGAGCTTACTAAAGCCTCCTAGAGTATAAAATGAGTGAAAAGACAAAAAGAACTAAAAATAATAATATATCAGGTATACATATGTATATATATGGTTTACTTCCTTCTGTATTTTTACATTTTAACAAACCCATTTAACCTTCAACCTCGGTTTTCAATGGGTTCAGGGTATCAAAATTAAAGTCTTCGGCAGAGTTATTGATGTGCTTTAGTTAACGGCCAAACAGTAAAGAAACAAAGGAATATCTTCAGCGTAAATTCAGATTAGTCATAATAAAAGAAAGCGTTTTTAATAATTTATGCATTTCTGAAATCAACATTCGGAACAATAAGTTATTCAATTTATTAGATTTTGTGAATAAATTAACTTATTTAAATATATCTGAGCTTAATGTTGTATGCGTGCCGATTTTCTAGCTATGAAAACCAAGTTCTGGCCACGCGCCTCGGTGGCTTCAATCTCCTCGTTGCCTTCCTCCTGCTCCGCGTCCTCTTCTTCGTCTGTCTCTTCTGCGGCTGCTGCTTCGTCCTTGTTGAGAACATCGCGTAGCACTGCCTCCAGTTCGTAGTAATCCTCATTGACGAGATTGTAGCCCTGCTTCACCTCCTGCACTCCAATGCTATACTCGTCCAGGTAATTGTCCCCAAAGCTGACTGTACGTCCGATATGCATATATGGACCAGTTTCGTCATTCATCGCTGGCCAGGCGGGCACACCCGCCGCCTCGGGCACGCCGTTGGCCGCAAACGAGGTCCAAAGGGCAACCATGCGCTTGGCAATCTTGACATCGCTGTTGGCATTAATCATATTGATTCGCGGCCAGGGGAACAGATAGAGATTCTCGTCGGTCAGGCTGACGCCCATGTCGAAGGGCACATCGATGGCCTCGTCCTCGCCTGTGGCATAGCGATTCAATTCGCCCTCATAGTCAAAGGTATAGAGGTAGGTGCTGTTGGGCAGCTTCTTGGCGTTGGCCTGGAGCACCAGCAGCACAGGATTCTTCAGTGCAATCGTGCTGCACAACTAGAAAGAAGAAGAAAATATATGAGTTCCACTTGAGATAATTGAATAAGATGGCAGCTCACATCAATGAGACCCGGCGTAAGGCGCTTGAAGCTGCCATTCCGGATGTCCTCTGCACTGAAAATATACTCCTCGGCAAACTCCCGCCAGGAGCTCGTAGGATCGGCGCCATTAATCTGCTGAATAATTGTCTCAATGTACTTCTCCCCGGACATCTTGGCATCTGCAGTGCTCTCGTTGAAGCTGTCCACAAATAGATCTATGGAGGAGAAGTTATGTTACTGTAAACTTTGTTCTTCGAGGAAAATCCTTAATCTTCAGGGAATTACTTACCCCTCATCAGGAAGGTGCCGCCATGCTTGACACTGCCGCCCAAAGTGGGGTAGGCCGTGAACTTCTCGGCGGCAAGCAGTCGACCCGGATGCTGGGGCAGAATGCCCGACGGTCCGCCAATGACCAGCTGAACACCACCGTAGGCACCGGAGGCGACTAGGGGCTTCTGTTCGCCATACACACTGAAGGCAGCCAGCAGCATTGTGGCATTCATGCGATTGAAGCACTTGTGCAGGGAGTCCATCTTGGTTAGCTGCTTGCAGCCGGCAATGCGTCCGATTTCCTTGGTCGTCGCCAGCGGGGAGTCCGTGATGAAGGCTGGCGATAGCGCTGTGCCGGACATATAGATGACGCGATGGAACAGGTCCTTTGGCACAGCCGGGCTCAAGGTGAGCACATTAATGAGCGCCGCTCCGCCCACCTGGCCGAACAGAGTCACCCGCTCCGGATCGCCGCCAAAGTCCGCGATGTGTTCATTGATCCACTTCAGTGCCAAGATCAGGTCTGTCACAGCCGCATTGCCGGGCATTTCGTCGCTCAGCGTGGAGAGGAAGCCGAAGGGACCCAGACGATAGCGCACCGACACTAGAACCACATCCTGCTCCAGCAGATAGCCAGGTGCCGCCTCCGTTGTGTCGCCATCATAGAAGAAGTCACCATGCACATAAACCATGACTGGAGCTGGCTTACCCTCCAGCTAATGACACTTTCATTATACGTGATATTCAAGTGGATGCAATCAAGGTAAACCCACCGATTTGGTATTGACTGTCAGGCGCAGACAGTCTTCCACATCAACGCCGTTCTCCTCCATTTTGGCGAACTTCACCAAATCCTGGATGGAGGGGCAGCCGGCATGATTACGATGTGCCTGCAGGATGCCCTTCCAAGGCGCCGCCATTTCCGCCGGCTTTTAGGCCAAATGCAAAATTGAATATATAATTTGAATGTAAACATTTTGCATATATCTATAGATAAGCTAAAACTCTTGAACATTTTAGTGGAGAATGGGATAAATGTTTGACTTCAGATATTGGAAATTGATTTCCCTTAATTTTAATGAATATTTTTAAGAAACTTTCTGATAGTGTACAAAATAATATAAAAGTAATAATATATAATATTCCTCTATTTTTTTCCACATTTTTGTATGAAGCTAAAAATATTCTCCATAAGTTTTGTTTCTTGTAAGGGATATCTATAAAATTTTTGCATTGACCTAATTTGAGATACATAATTAAATCGAATTAAAATTCACCCTGCTTAAAATTAAAATAAATACTGACCCAAATTTCGCAAATACGAATTTGAAATGTAAAGTCGAAAATCAAGTCTAAATCTCACCTTAAAACGCTCCGCCTTGCCGTATGGGATGTCTAGGAACTGCATCACTTTCTGGCCAGTCCATTCCGTAAGCAAGGTACGACCACGAATCTTGCCCAGATCCGGCAACGTTGTGGTGAACACCTTGGAGCTGGGCTTGTTTTGCTGCTTTTTGTTTGGCCTTTGATTTACTGGTCTTTGCGCCAGTTGCGGCTTGGGGCGCCTGTTGGGATTTGCCGGCTTGGGCCGCTGTTGCTGTTGCGGCTGTTTCTTATTCTTGTTCTGAGCCGAGGCGCCGCTGATGGCAGCCAGAGCTAGAAGCGCCACCAGAAGCAGCAAGACAATTTTCCGTAGATTTGCCATGATTTGACCCGTTGCCGTTACGCGTTCAAAGGCAACTGTTGAACAGATTGGTTGGCAACTCAAAAAGAAGACTTTCGCAACGGGTCTTGAGGTGGCGCCGTCATAATTAAGTATCTCTTAACCGGGCACCTGGCGGCGGTTCTATTTTAGATGAGAGTTCGAGCGAAATGGGGTCAAGTCGCTGTTAACAGTTCGATTGAACTCAAGTTGAGTGCCCCTTGCCTGCCCCAAAGATTCATAATCCAATTCGATATTCGCAAATACAGATTATGAATATTTATCAAGTTGACTGCCAAAGCCAAAACCCGTTTGCCCCAAGGGGCACACGCTAAGAGTCTCAGAGTCTCTTCTACAGATTATGCTTGATTTTGAAAGTAAAAAGCCGAGTCCCAACTAATTCTTGACCCATTTTAGGCAAACATGGTCAAAGTGTATGCAAATATAATAAACTCTGACCAAGTAGCGATTCAATTATATACGAACTTTGTTAACTGTCAACGCACGGTTTTTGGCCGCTTTTCTATAACGGAGTTAACAGTTCCAAAGAATTTATATCTCATAGGTAAGTAAACATTTTCCAACTTCAAGTTAATCTACATATATTTGTATTACATTCGTTAATACATTTTGTTAATAAGTTAAACAATAATAAATAATAATTATATATTAAAATGCATTAGTCTAGATGTCTGTAAGATGGCATTCACTAGCTTAAAAAACGCACAAGAACAATTGCATTGAAATGCGCTAAAATTGTTTCTGCTTCTTGTTCCGCAGCGAGCATGAGTTATTGGGCAAGCCGAAAATATATTCAATTTCACAGTATATTATATTTTATCTTTTCTTTTTTTGTTGAGACAAATGCAGAAGAATGAACAAACCGGCAGAAGCAGCAGCAGATCAATATATGCTTGTATGAGGAACACCTGACAGTGGGGGATTTTCAGAGTGTGAGTGTATATATATGTGTGTGTGTGTGTGTGTGTGCGATGGTGTATCGCCCACACACAGTACACTTATTTATATGTAATATAAGCGCACAACCGATTTTGTGATGAGTGTTTCGTTGTCATAGAAACTGGTTTGAATTGTCACATTGCCATTTAAGACTTTAGCGGGCATCATTTGGGACTCGGGAGCTGCTTCAATGGTGCTCTGCCATGTGTTGGTGGTGTTGGCGCCCACGAAGCCCATCTCGAAGAACCACTCCTCCATGATGCGACCCTTGAAGAGCACCTTCTGGTCGAGCCGAAAGTTTTGCATTGACTCTATCGTGCTGAAGTTGATCTCACGCGATACGGCGCGCATGTCCAGAATTTTGACTGGCACCCGCGCCTCGTGCTCCACGTCCGGTGCCGAAAAGTCTTTATTCTCCTGCCAGATAACTTTGCCGGTGTCCGCATCGCGCAGTATCATGTAGTTGATCTGAAATCCCTTTTGGATTTTGTCGCCTGCGCTGAGGTCATCGGATCCCATATTAAAGCCACTATATGTATCACAACCAGTAGGTTATTGTTTTTGTCCGTTAAATTTGCTTTTTGCAGACCAGATTATATTTTTGGAAATAATCAATGTTTATTTTTAATGCTAATTATGTGGGTAGCCGTATATTTAATTTGAAGAATACATATGTACGAGCAGCTAGCAGCTGTCACAGCTGCGAGACAATCGATTATTTGTGTCAGCAGGGAACTAGTGTTGTTAAACAGTTTCACAGCTATCGATAGGTATCACGAAACAATCAAAAGAATTAAACTAGTACTACAAACTCGAATAGACTATTAGAAAACAGTTATAAATTCATTTAATGTCTAAACGAGTATAATTAGAGTTAACGACAGTTTCAATCGCGTTCTTATTAATTCTCGTATATCTATCTACCGTCTACAGATTCGCCCAACGACCGTTGTCTTAGAACCATCCAACAGCTGTTAATTTCAAATTCAATCTAATAGTTGCAGCGCGCTGTTATGGAAATATTTTGCCGCTGCAGCGCTGTTAGAGTACTGTTAAAAAAATACTAGTTGAAAGTCAATAAAAAAAAAAAAAAAAAAAACAGGTAAAGTTGATGTTTGTGTGCGGTTAGCATTACGTGGACTGCTTGGCTTTCAATTTCATTTCCGTTGTTCAATTGCGCACAATCAACGAATAGTAGCGCCTCGATAAGAGCCGGCATAATTGTTACACACTTGTCACTCAAGCACACACGTAGAAAGTGATAAATTACCAAAAATGGTCGATGTTATCAAAAAGGGCGCACTGCTTCTCATGAATCAGAAGTGCTATGACAACTACTTTCTCGAATACAATTTCCTCGATGGTGAGTACGACGACCTTCGCCTGTCTCTGTCAAAGATAAATTAACAATTATATTTCCGTTTACAGTTTCATGCTTCAAGGCGCTACTGAGCAAAGGTCTCGGCATCGGCATCATCGCCGGCTCGGTGCTGGTGAAGGTGCCGCAGGTGCTGAAGATTCTAAACAGTAAATCTGGCGAGGGCATTAATTTAATGGGCGTCATGCTGGATCTGCTGGCCATCACATTCCACATGTCGTACAACTTCATGAACGGCTATCCATTCAGCTCCTGGGGCGACAACACTTTCCTCGCCATCCAAACGGTGGCCATTGCAGCGCTAGTCCTCTACTTTGGCGGACGGAAGCCTTATGCGTTCATCTTCGTAGTGGCCTATGCCATACTGCTGTATATTCTCAATTCCGGACTGACGTCCATGAAGGTGCTATTCGCCATACAGAGCTGCAATATACCCATCCTGCTGGTGGGCAAACTATCTCAGGCAGTGACCAACTATAGGGCCGGCTCCACGGGCCAGTTGTCGGCGGCCACCGTCATCATGATGTTCGCCGGCTCCGTGGCGCGCATATTCACATCCATTCAGGAGACGGGTGACACAATGATCATCATCACATTTGTCGCCTCGACCTTTGCCAATGGCGTTATATTCAGTCAGCTGTTATACTACTGGAACAAGCCCGTGGGTGGAGCTGTCAAGCGGGACGCTCCAAAGGTCAAGAAGGTCAAGACCAAGAAGGATGACTAAGTTGTAAGAGCGTAGCATTAAGTCTCAACACTTTCTCGACAAGATTGAACAAAGAACAAAACTAAATAAATTTATTAATTTAGCAATTGTAATTAGAAGACATCCCAGTGTTTATTATTTCTCATTTTCAAAGTGCTTTCGCAGCAGATCCAACGCCCTGAATCGATGCGAAATTGTGTTCTTTTCCGATTTAGGCAGCTCCGCATAGGTTTTATCATAGCCCTTGGGCTGGAAGACTGGATCCCTGTGGGCAAAATAATATTAACATCATATTCGACAAATTTCACTCCAATGCGAACCAGCCAAAGTCACGCGGACCACGTGGCTCCACAATGACGCCTTCAGTGATGCCCTGAAAGATTTGCGGCTCGGCCGCGCAGCTCTCGCAATATGCAAATGTGCAAATAGCACGTGCGGATTTGTCTTCCCAGCCACTCAGCATGCGATGCAGGCCCTCGGGTCGCAGTTTCTCGAGAAACCACTTAATGTACGGACCAGGCAAGCCCTCAAGCGCATTGAAGCACAGGCTGGTGTCCTCTATCAGCACTGGCCCATCCACTTGTCGGGCCGCTTCCTTGCATTTCTTCACAGCAATCTCGTCAATCTCGCCCTGTAGCTCCGGCAAATCAACCTTCTTCGAGATGATCGTGCGGGGAAAATTGGGCCCAAGTATGGCGACCAGTTCCTCCAATTTCTTTGCATTGCCCGTCACAAAAGTAATTGGTTTCGACATGATCAGCTATTGTTGTCGTCAATTTAAATACATATGTAATTTGTATGCATCGTCTGTTATGCCGGCACATTCCAGAGATGAGCCGATAGGTTGCGCCATCAGCTGATCAAGGAATGGCAAACGGACAGGGTCGTTATGCATTTGAATTGAGGCAAATATTTAACGAACAAAAATATAAATAGTGCCACGTTTCATTAAAGTTTATCTTTGTGCACAGCTTTCTTCTGCCTTCTTCTAAACGCACATACAAAATATATGGCTATTTATACTGTTCTATTTGTGCGAAACACATTTTTATTGGGTCCGATGTCTCTTAATGTCAACTTTGAGTACAGTCACTGACCAGAGAACACATAGACTAGACATGTAGAACAAACTTTTTCAACACCGAAAAAATGCGCTGAACGGACCGGACAACTTCGTATTTGGTCGGCTCGGTCTTCTGAGGCTCAAGCAGTGAAAATAAGGCAAGACAAAATCAGTGTGCTGCGACTGCTGCCACGAAATGCACGCATTACAAAATGAAGCACGGCTATGCGCTCTTTTTCCCTTACTCACTCTCTCCCTCTCTTTATGCTCTCTCTCTCTCTCTCTNTGATCACCCAAGACCAAAAAGTTTTGTCGGATATATGTCCGCCCACAGGGGGCGTGGCAAACCGCAAAAGTTTATATCTCCTAAAGTATAATAGCTAGAAGCTTCAAATTTGGATAGTTGAGTTACTGGTAGCCTCCTCTATCGATTCCCCAAAAATAATTTTTACGCCTCTTTAGGGGCGTGGCATATCGAAAAATACCCTGTAATTTTCACATTTTTTTAGGGTAAGCATTCAAACTTTGCAGTTAGGGTAACGTTATCTCTTTCTAAAAACTGACCAAAAATGAGGAGTCTACGCCCAGTTGGGGCGTGGCAAATCGGAAAAACCTGYATAWTCHASWKTATTARAACGAAACTTAACTAYTAAATTGTTGATGGGATGTGAATGAGTATTCCGCAGTCGGTAACGCCCGACTGCAACGTTCTTACTTGTTTTACATTCCTTATATTCCTTTTTATTATTTTTATTTTTATCATTATTATTTTGATATTGATTTTTTAGTGTTATTATTAACAATTACAACATTTGCATATACAAACATGTGGTACAAAACTAATGAAAATGTAAAATTCACATCAAAATTAGCGTAAGGCACTATAGAAAAGCGCCCCAGCCTATATACATGGCAGCGAGATTATCCACTTTAGTTGCCTCATTAATCAAGAAGTTAACCTGCCCCTCTGTGGACAAGGGAATGCTGTTTGCCTGCTGCCGCTTGACCTGTAAAGGGCAATGATTCAATTTGAGTAATTGACCCATTTTCGAATCTTTTGTGATTGCTACTCACATGTCCCTGCAGACGTTCCGCAATGCGCTGCACATCGTTCGTGACCTTCGGATCAGTCACCTCGGCGCCGTGTTTGTTCCGATTGCTGGTCGAGGCCGTAAGACGGCTCTGGACACCCAAGTCGTAGACGAACGGCCGCAGCATGGACATAAGCGTTTTGGTCTCCTGCTTAAGCAGTCGCAGCGTTATCTCACAGCACTTGCGGAAGCTGCCCTCCACGCCCAAGGGACCCATGGCCGTGATCATATTGCGGGTGAGGCGGAAGGGAACCACCTCGGGATAGGCAAACGCCTCGCCCTGATTGAACAAGCAATTGAAGTCCACGTGCACCGCATCGCCATTGCGCTCGTCGAAGAGTATATTCTCACCATGGCGATCGCCCAGGCCCAGGATGTAGCCCACCATTGACATGACGGCCACGGTGCGTATATACGAGTTGCGTGCCTCATACCAGCTGTGGGGCGTGGTAAAGCGCTGCAGCAGCCACTCCTGGAATACAGGCGGATGGGCGGGCAGCAGCTGGTTAAGGAACACGGCACGCTTACGCTCTATTGACTCCGTTTGCGGCAAGGCCAGCTGCTGCAGCTGGCGGCCGCTCATCACCTGACCCCGCTGCATGTACAAGGCGATGCAAATGCTGCGATACGAATTCAGATTCGGCAGCCACTCGAGCAGGCCGCACTCCTCATTGAACGGCAGCACGGCATAGGTGCGTATGTGCAGACGCCGCTGGCGGGCACTCGCATCCTGATGCAGATAGCGCTTCATTAGCCCATTGAACTCCATGAGACGTGCATCCTTGCGCAAGTCGTCCTTGGGCTTAACCATGATGTCATAATCCTGCCCATCGCTGCAGCGTATGGTCAGCTTTTTGGGTCGTGCCGCCGACCGCAGCACGAGCACCTTCTCCTGGAAGCCAGTTATATAGATATGCTTATAGGGGAACCAATTGCTCGTCGAAAGCTTGTTGGCGCCCGGACTGGGCGAGGGCGTAGTATCCTGCGCCGAGGATATGTTGAATGTCGGCTGCATATACTTCTCGAAGGGCAGCATTATGTTGGAGAAGTTCGCCTGGCCGCACAGCTGCGGCAGTCGCTTGTCCAGGTCGCTCAGCTTGTAGCTGCGATCGAGGGTGACCTCCTTGTTGGTCACGCAAATCAAACGATCCGTCAGGGTATTGAAGTCGCTCAGTAAGCGCTGAAATTCGGCATTCTGCAGCCGCTCATCGGTGAGAATCGAATTGCAGCGCTTCACGCGATTCACCGCGGCGGACTTGAAGTGGGGCAAGAGCATCCAGAGCGACTGCTGCGGATACTCCCGGATCAGCATGATGATCACAGTGCGCAGCACGGCAAACACCTCGACCGAGGGATGGCACAGGCGGCTCAGCATTTGCGAATACGCCGCATAGAACATGCCCGTGGACAGCGCCGTGCAGCAGTTGCTGAGCAGATCATTCATTTTGCGCACCAGCTCCGCATGGCTCGTGCTGGCTGCGGCCGTCGCTGTGGCCGCTGTGTCCAGCCAGAGGCTGATCAGGCGCGGCATGGACTGGTAGACATGGTCGCTGCCATAGCGCAAGGATTTCGCATAGTTGACCATAATCTGCAGCAGCAGCTCCTCATCCTCGCGCGTCTGCGTATTGGCCGTGCCGGCGGCTCGCGCCTCACGCATCTTCTCCAGAAACTGGGCCAGCTGCACGAAGCAGCGCTCCGATTTGTGATGCACAGCGATGGCCTCCTGGAAGTACTTGAGTATGGCGTCGGCGCACAGATTCATCGAGTCCGCATTGTACGTGGCCTGCAGATACTTTCCCTCGAAGTAGAGCTGACGCTGCTCGCCGCTGAGCTGCTTGACGTTGCCCTCGCATTGCTGGACAATCGCCGACAGCTGCTCCTCGAGGAAATTCATGGCCTGCACCTGATCACCCTTCTGCCACAGCAGCTTGGCGCGCTCCAGGAAGAGGCGGCTCGGCTTGTACTCCGCCGCCTTCATCAGATAGAGATGCGCGCGCTGCAGCTGGCCCGCATTACGATTGATTTGGGCGCTGTTCAGCCAGAGCTGGGCCAGCTGGGTCCGGAGCTGTGCCTGCAACGGCGCGCAATCGCCCAGCCGGCGCTTGAGCTCGGCGAGCAGATTGCGTCGAAAGCTGTAGATGGGCTCCAGCACGCGCAGCTGTGGCTGCAGTATCTGCAGTCGAGACTGCCAATCGGCAAAGTAGTTGCGCATCAATTCCGTCTGTTGCTGCTCCGTCTGCTCCTGCTGCAGCGCCGACAGCTGCTCGACCAGCTGATGGCTGCACTGCAGCTCGTGCAGCATATGCAGCTTCAATACATCGTCATAGGCATGTGCATAGGAGTGCTGCTGCAGAGCGGAGCAGCTGCGCAGCTGGTCCAGCACGGAGCAGCGCATGGAGTCCAGCATCGAATCGAACTCCGATTTGGTGGTCATCGGCTGCCTAAGGGCGAGGCATGCCTGGGCGCACTGAGCATGCCAGTTGGGCTTGCAGCGGCTCTGCTGCTGCCGTTGGAGCTGCAGCTCCTCGAGCTCATCGTAGCTGCCCAGGCGCCAGAGCAGCTCCGCCTTGCACTCGCTGAAATACTGTTCCGTGTGCTGATCCGCCAGCCGTTGGGAGAGACCGTCGGCAATGAGCAGCGCCGTCTTGGGCGTGTCCATGCGCAAGTAGGCATCGATAATGGCGCGTATGTGCTCCGGCTGCAGTTGCTCCGTGCTGGACAGCAGTTGCTCATAGCATGTGATCATATCCTGCTGGCGTTCCACCAAACGATTCACTAGAATCTCCTGGGTGACGCTCATGTCGCAGCTGCGCGTCTGCACTGCACCCTCCACCGAATCGGCGTCCATCAGCCGCCCATAGAGCTCGACGAGAAACGTGAACTGCTCCAGCAAGCGTGCAGTCTTGTCGCCATCTATATAGGCCTCCAGGTAGCGCAGAGCCCGCGCATACTCTCCGCAGTTATAGCTGGCCCGTGCGACACGCAGCTTGTCGATGCGCTGCACGAACTCGTAGATGGCACCGTAGTTGGCATCCACATCCTGGGGCGGCTTGCCGGCCATGCTCAGGCCGTGTTGGCGCTGCCATTCGCGCAGCCAGCGCTGAAGGAAGTCCAGCAGCTCGGCACACAGTTTGCCGGCCAATCGGGACTGATCCTCAGCACTGGAGCCAGCCAGGGGATCATCATTAGTGGTTTTAGTAGAAGCTCTATATTTCATCGACTCGAAGAGCTTGTAGCTGCCAGCATTGCGGTTTGTTGCAGTTGGGTCGAAGGCAGTTTTAGCTGGGGTCGCCACTTGCTTGGAAAGCTCTTCATTCGCCTGCAGCACCGTCTGGAACTCCTCCTCGATGCGGGTACGCTGCTCCGCATTGCACTCGAGCAACGCGTGCAGCAGGATATAGGGATAGAAGGTGCTTAGCATGTTGGAGTCGCGTCGAATGCAGGGCTTGTAGGAGCTGAGCAAGTGACGCGTATCCGACGACTGCACGTAGTCAATGAGGCGCGAGGCCCAGAGGAATGCCCACAGCTCGTAGGAGTTGTGTGTGTAATGACTGCCAAAGAGCGGATGCTGGGTCAGCGTGTTGGGCCGCTGCGAGCAGGTGTAGCAGGAGTTGAGCAAGGGTTCCATGATCTCGCGCATACGCACCGGCAGCGACTGCCAGAGCTGCAGCTTCTTCTGCTCCTTGGGCGCAATGCCACAGACGGCGAGTGTTTCCTGTATGGCCAGCGAGAAGCTGTCCACGTGCTTCGTTTTCTGCTGGAACTGATAGCCGCGACAGAGCGCCGTCAGAGCCAGCACGGTGAAGTCATCCGTTAGGACGCTCAGCGGCAGCTGCTGCGAGCTGGCGTAGTTGTAGTTGGAGGGCAAATAGCTAGCATCGATAGCTCCCAATTCGCCCAGGCACTTGGCAGAGGCCAGCTGCAGCGAGCGATCGTCGTGCTGGCTGCCAGACATCAGGATATTGACAATCTGCTCCATAAGCGGTTCCATGGGCAGTTTGTGCAGTATCATATGATTCAGTTGGGCACGACGGCGACCGAACAGCTCGGCCAGATGCTCCAGTCCATAGACGCGCACCTGCAGGCACTCGTTAGTGATTTGCTTATGTAGAAAGCGCAGCTGATCCAGCAGCGGAGCCTCCTCCTCGTCCGCCACAGGGCCGTCAAGGCACAGCTGCGCCGTGTGACGCTTAATGCACTCTCTTATAGGCGTCGATACATGTTCCAGGCGCTCCAGAAAATATAAATCTACCACAAGAGTATAAATTATCGAAATACAAAGAGAATTCAGCTATTCATTTAGCTACCTTGTATATAGCTGCCCAGCATGGAAGCGTTGCGTAGAATGACAAATTCGTAGAGCTCATTGACCTGCTCCACGCTGTAGGCGAGCAGCGGCTGCAGCGTGGCGACAATGCGACCAAGCGAAGGACCCAGCTCCTGTATGTTCACCACATGAAGAAATATGTGCCAAATCTTCAAGCAAATGCGCTGCAGATTTGGCTCTTGCAGCGTGTGCACAAAACTCAACATGGCAATGATCTTAAAGCGAAATTGAGTCACATGTTGAGGGCCGACAAAGCGAAGAATCTGTCCCAGACTGTAGAGCGTCTCCTCCTTCAGGCTCTTCTCGAACGACGCCTCAGACAGACAGCTTTCGAAATAGGTAATGACGCCGAGTATGCGCTCCGCAATGAACGTGGAGAATTGGGCATTGGTCGCCTGCGTGGACAGACTCTCGCTGCCGCCGCTCAGCTGCAGCAGGCTTTGAAAGGAGCGCATCACAAAGGTTGGATTCCGATTGAAGTAGATTAGCAGCTCGGCGACAGTTTGCTAGGGGAATTCATAGGAATTAGCTGCATTGAAAAATAACAGAAGCTGTTTGAGCACACCTTTACATCCGCATTCATCAGCTCCTGCAAGGTGGATTGCGTGCAGCTGGCCACCAGTTCGATGCAACGATTTGCCAGCTCTGGCGGCTCGCTGAGATGGACGTGAGCATAGAGACGCAGAAAGGACGTCGAGAAGAGTGCAGCAATGGGCTTATGCACTTGCTTGGATATGAGCACAAAGACGCCCTTGCAGCGCGGCTCCTTAATACAGTAGGGCAGTATCAGGGTGGTCAGCAGGCGGTGGTACTTGCAGGTGAACTCCTGCACGCAGGAGTAGCCCAGCATTCTGGTCAGCTAGAAGATAGGTCATAGATTAAAGGAGCTCTGCAAAGCATACGAAAGACTCACCGCTCGCAGGGAGTGGGTGAAGCGTACTCCCTGCGTCAAATAGGCCTGCAGTGCCAGCTGAACGACCAAGCCGAGTGCATCTCGTTTGTACCAGTTCCACAGCGTGAGCGGCTGCAGGTCGTGGCGTGCGCACAGTTGGCACGCGGCGAGCACAGCTTCCTGGGCGACCAGCGAACGCGTGTGCACTAGGAAAAAGAAGGTCATCTTGAACCAGTGGAAGAGCCAGAGCTCGTCGATCTCCGGATGAGCTGCGCACACGATCAGACGCAGCATTTTTTGCTGCTGGGTCTCGCTCTGCGCCTCCAGAGGTTTCGCTAACATGTCCAAAATCCAGCCGAGCACAAGGCTGGCCAGCTGCTGCATGAAGTCCGGGGATTGAGCAGCTAGCACGGGCACAAGGCGTTCGAAACTGCGCTCGTTGAGTGCCTGCAAATCGGGCGCATTCCTAAGCAAGTTCAAACAGACCGAGGGCTCCAGGTTGATCAGATCCAAGTGATGGGCAATGTAAGCGCATTTCGACTTGAACAGCATAGCCTCTACAAATGCATTCATGCTGGAGCTGCTGAAGGACTTGGCAACTGCAGTGCTCGGCTTGCACATGCCCAAATATAAACCAGGCAATGTGGCAGGCAGCTCCTCGCACTTGGAGCAGCATAGTATGATCTTCCGATTCTCTGCCTTGAAGACATGCGCCGCCTCTGGCTGTTGGGTGCACAGCAGCAGACGCAGCACAGCGGCCAGCGTGCTGCCATCCTCGGTGGGCTTCAGCTTGGGTAACATTTGCTGCAGGTGACCGGATTTGATGTAGCCTGCCACATACAGCTGAGGCAGATGCTCGCAGAGGAGCTGCACAATGTCCGCCTGCTCGGCGTTGAGCAGCGCCAGACACTTCTGTGCAAAGAAGCTCTGCAGCTGGGTGTGAGCACTAGATGGGATCTCCAGGCGGAGCGTGGCCAAAGCAAGCAAGGCCTGAGTTTTCTTCTCCTGCTCCGATGACTGCAGAGCGCGCTGCAGCACGCCCAGAAGCAGCTGCTGTGTATGTGGCTTCAATTGCAGACGCAGGCAGGTGCAGTGCAGCAGCAGAGCGCAGATCTCCATGAACTCCGGACAGGCCACGCACAGAGAATCCTCCAAGAGCTGTGCACTCAGTACATTCCAATTGCTGTTGGCATCGGTGTGCAGCGCGACCTCGTGATGCTGCGGCAGCTGGGCGAGCAGCTCAGTGTTAAGTGCCTCATCACTGGCAGCCACGAGCTCCTGCTGATTGGCCATCAGCAGCAGCCGCTCCATATGCTTGAGCCCACGCAGCACAGCCAACAGTTCGGGCAGCTTCTCGGGCGTAGGCTTCGCCAACAGTCGAGCCAGACTCTGGCTGAGCATCAACGAGATTTTATCTCTAATTGCGGGCTGCTTGGCAGCAACTGCAGCGAGTAAGGACAGTAGAGGTTCAGGATTCCCACGCCACTGACGCAACAAGAGCTGGCAGGTGTTGGCAGGCAGCACTGAACTCGCCTCCTTTAGCTGCTCTTGCAGATAGTCGCATAGGACCTGGAGCAAATGACAACGCCAATCGCTGGCTGGTTGAGACAGCACCTCATGCAACAGTTGGCAACTCAACTCAAGGCTATCAGGATTCGACATCTTTTGCCTTGTAAACACTAGCAGTAGCTGCTCAGTGTGCGTGACTAGCCGCTCCAGTTGCGCCTGCGTCATGCACTTGTCTTTCCAGCGGCTAATTAGGGACCACATTAGAGCTAGAGCTCGCAGTGTGAGGGCTGCATAGTGAGCAACAGCTGCGCTGTTCGACCAACTGGTTGTGGTGTGTGCTTGGAGCACAGAATGACAGTAGCTTAGACATGTCAGCTTAGTGTCCATGTTGCACTCCTTGAGAGTGAGCAGAGCCTGATGAAGACTCTCGGCGAACTGATCGCTGTGCGTGGCATGGCCGATATGATGTGCCTGTTGTAGAACTAGCAGCAGATACTTGGCATATGCATCCGATTTGTCCAGCTGCAGTTTAATCTCTTGGAATGCACATTGATTATCGAACTCCTGCAGGACACTGGAGTCGCAGCGAAAGATGTGCAAATGCAAAGTGCGCAATTCTTTGCAGTTCTTGTCGGGATTAGTGTAGTCGAAGGCGCTCATCGTGTCATAGAGCTGCTGTAGCGCCTCCCTGTAGGCCTCTACGAGACGCCCGTAGAGTTTCGGATGATTGCACCAGCAGGATAACAAAAGCTTCTGCTGCAGCTGCACATTTTTCAGACACTGTCTAAATTGATCAATTAATACATATATAGAGAAAAGGGATCTATCCACTTACCCCTCATCCGTACACTCGATTAAACAAACAGACAGTTTGTTTAGTAGCCATAGCAGAAAAGCATCCTGAAATTCGCTTTTTAATTCGTTCACAGATGAGCAGCTGATGAGACTTGGATCCTGACAGAGAATGTCGTCAACAACATTGTATACAGCGGATAAATTGCTTTGGTTGCGATTCACCAAATTGTACAACAATTTCCACATGTCCTTACGCCGGCCCGACATATTGATGAATCTATTATTTGAAATATCAAAATGCGAGGGTCAACATTTCCATGCAACACATCAACGTTGCCAGACCACCAAAACAAACAAATTGCGACAGTTGGAAAATACCAAAGAAATATACTAATTATCATATGGCACCTACTGAAAAAGCAGCTGTTAATTTTTAAAAATCGGACACAGCTCAATTGTTTTCACAAGGCATTATTTACTAATTCATACCAAATTAAATATAAGCTCATAAAAAAAAAAATACTGTAGATCAAAAGATCAAATCAAGGAAGACTTTACCTGAGATAATAAATTTAGCTTTAGTCGAGAAGTAAATGATGTATGTCTAATATACATATGTAGAGCTTATAATTAGTTTGCGTCACATAATTTGGGTTTTTGCACTGTAGTATCAGTTATGATGATCGATTTTGAGCTACGATATCTTAAACTATCTACACATTTTAATAAATATTATTCCGCACATGGAAGTCGTCACGCGAATGTAATGGAATAGTTATTAAACAATCGCCTCAGCGGATCCAAAGACCAGGAATATGAGCCAGCCGATCAAGTTAATGCCAGCCGCCGCACTAAAGACCATTGGCCAGCTCTGCGTCAGCTCCAGGATGTGGCCTGCCAGGTACACGCCAAGGAAGCCAGGTATGGCGCCCACTGTGTTCATCAGGCCAAAGACGCTGCCGGAATGCAAGGGCGCCAAGTCTTGAGGATTTACAGTCACTGCGTTGTTGTGGAAGCCTGTGCCGCCAATGATGATGGTCATACAGATTAGAGCCGTGTGGAAGTCCGTGGTGCGGCTCATCACAAACAGCGCCACGTTTTGCGAGGCAAAGCAACAGCTTTGAATTAACTTTCGCACTGTTGTCGTAGACCACTCCCGGGCTATGAGCCGTGTGGTCAAGTACTTGGCGAAGAAGGTGCACGGCGGCAATGCCAGCCAGGGTATCATGTTGACCACCCAGCCTTTGGCTTGGGGAAACCCATCGTGGAAATATGTTGGCAGCCATGAGAGCAGCACAAAGAAGCAGTTCATCTCGCAGGCGTGCGTCAGCACACAGGCCCAGAACGGCAGCCGACTGAAGAAACGCAACCAGGGCACAGACGCCTCCGTAAGGGCCTTATTACTGCAGAGGCGCGCCGGTGTCGAGATATTGATGATTCGATTGCGTTCCCCAGCCATGGCATAATAGCGCAATACCAGAGCCCAGGCGAACCCCATCAAGCCTATCACACGAAACACATACGACCAGCCGAAGTAGTCCAGCACGAAGGAGCCCAAGATGCCGGTTAAAAGCGTCCCCATGGCCGAGCCCGAGGTAAGCAGGCCAAAGAAGCTGCTGCGCTCACTTTGACAAAGATTCTGCAAACAGAAACGACATCAAAATATATAAATATAAAGCTTTAAAGTGTAATCTTTTACCTGACTAGTCAAGCTGATCATGCTTGGAAAATGCACGCCCTGCAGTGCACCGTTAAGAATTCGTATGGTCACAATGATCGGTATCGTATAGCTCTTGACCGACGCCGCCGACCAGATAATCGTGGGCATTAGAAATGTGATGATGGACCATCCAAGGGCAGCAAACAATATAACACGCTGCCCACCGAAACGATCGCTGAAATAGCCGCCCATTACCTGGGTCAGCGTGTAGCCCCAGAAGAATGAGCTGAGCACTGTGCCGGAATCGGTTTTGCTCCACTTTTGTGCGGCTGCCACGGCAGGCACCAGCAGCGGCATCGTCGTGCGGGTCGAATACAGCATACAAGTGCCCGTGAGGAGCGTAATGAACCAGACGCGTTTTTCATGCCTGCAAATGAGTATAAGTACTTGAATAAGTAAACTCGATAATATAACCGAGTACTTGCCTGCTCCAAATACTTTGTGTGTCCACAAGTTCGCCGCGCAGCAGCGAATACTTTAGTTTTTCGTCCATAACGTAGCTGTCAATGATGGATTATAGTCTTTACTGCTGATATTGAACGCCCCTCACGCCATGCATTGTAATTTCCGCAGTTGTGGCGCTTGTCGCTTGAGCATTTCTAGTATCACAAACTTTAGTTCGGTTTTTCTTTATTTACAATAAACTATTTCTTTACTTGCGTACGTTGGCGTTGGCGTGTAGTTTTTACGTGGCGAATTTGCTGCTTGGAATTAAACGGTATTTAGTGAGCTAAAAGTGCTACAGTATTGAGTTGGTGCGTTGTATCTATGCGCTACTTTACAGAGTTGAGCTGCCAATTTAAATATTATATTTAGCGATCCGTTTTGTTACACAATCGCCACAATACATTTTCAAATTAAAACTCAAAATAATTTCAATAAATTAATGTATTGTATATATGATCTATTTTGTACATTGAATTAGCTCAGTATTAAATGCCTTGTGTAGCGCACACCAGCCCTTGCCACATATTCTGTCCGAAATCAGCTGTTTTGGCGCTGCCATTTACAAATCGCAGATACAATGCGCTGAGTGTTACCATACATTTTTTGTTGGCGCGTAATTTGAATTTGTATATGTTAATTATCGTAGTATATAGTCCGATTAGTTTTATTGGTTGAGGCCAAGCCAACTATTTAGTTTTATTAAAATTAAATCGCGACCTAGTGAATAATAATGAAATGATAGAGAAGAGCCCGAATTTGGGGAAGACAAAACAAAAAGAATGATAATTGAAGTTTGTGTTTTGTTTTGTGTTTTTATTATGTATATAGATATTTAATTCATGTGTAGAGTAGAAGGATAAGACAAATAACGTGAAATAAATACTCTAGCAATGCGCTGATATAAACAGTTACTCGTCCAGCGTGAGATGCACATTAGCGGAGGGATGCAGGCCAAGTTCCTTCAATGTGGCCTCATTGTGCTCCGCTTCGAGAGACTTGCGCGGAAAGGCACAGATCAGTTTGTAGCCCTCTAATGGTATGTGTTTGTGCGTTTGGCGTATATAGAGACGTAAAGTCTTTAACTTGGTATCGGATGGCCACCTCAGTTGGATGACCTCTTCGCCGCCGGCGGCGTCGAGTAGACGCAACTTCAATGCAGTTAGCTCCTCTGTCTGAGAGCCCAATTGAGCATCGTAAGAGATGGCGGCGCCCTTGAGTTCATCCTCGTCAAACTCCTCCAGGCTCTCACAGTCACTGGCATTGTTGTTGGCGTTGTTGTTGGTCGCATTTGTGGTGGTTTCTGCAGTTCCACCGTTTTCATTCATTGAGTTCTTGATGGCCAAGGCCAGTTGCTCCTCCTCGGTTAATTCCAGCAGCTTGGCTCGTTTCTTGGGAATGCCACCGGTTGAAGAAGAGCACGAGGCAACGTCTTCCTGATCATCGTCATCATCGATTTGTATGGATGTGCGTTTTGAGGAGCTTGCCTCCTCGAGAGAAAAGCCACGATGATCGCGCAAAAATTGCCGCAAGTCCGGCAGAACATTATCTTGATTGGGCTCTGGACTGCGCCAGACCTCCTCGCCCGTGCGTGGATCAATGATACACAAATAGGGCAGCTTGGCACAGTGATAAAAGGCCACAAACCGTCGTCCTTCCGAGCTATCGTTGTCCACCTGCCAGAGCACAAACTGTCGACGTACCAGTTGCTTTAGCTCCTTGCTGCTCCACACATCGCGATTCATTGTCTGTGATTGAAAATTGTCACCCTGCACGTTAACAAGTAGCCAGCGCTCGCGCTTGCTGGCAAATTCACGGGCCGCTGCCAGGGAGCCAGAGTATAGAATATCTGTAGGCGGGCGGAAGAGATCACCAAGGCGGGATGAAGTGCTGCCGCCTGAGCGGCCCTGTAACGACATGGCTTGCCCGGCCACAACCATTTGGGCCGAACGCTCGCGACGTCGACGATGTGTACTCGGATCGGAGTAAACGCCAGTGGCTTGAAGCTGTTCCTCCATTAAGGCGCCTTCACGTGCAAAATCACGTAGTGGGCAAACTTTAACTCGCTGGGAGACGCGAGACATACGACTGTTATTACTGCTGCCGGACGCAAAAAAATTATCATCCTCCGGTAGAATCAGTTGCTCCCGCACTGGTGCAATGGGTGCACGCACCTCGTCCTCATCTGCAGCGCCTGCCGTGGATGCGGATGTGGAAGCGCCATTGGTGGCACTATTGCCGTTGCCACCTTGCTCGAAAAACAAGGCAACGGCTGCCGCCACATCGTTGGCACAGGCGCCAAGATAGTGTTTGGCCTCCTCCGCAGTGCAAGCAGTCACTTCCACCACGCGCTCGATTAGTTCGTCTGTTGTTGCTGCATTGCCACTCGACATTGCGGTGCAGCGAGTCAACTGGACTTTATCGATTTCTTAAATTTAGAAGCTTGTAAATTTTTCGTATAATGCTCAAAGCTGACACTTGAAACAAAATCTTAAACTTTTATTAGATGTGAAGTGCAAATGTATGCAAACTTGTAGTGCTGTAAGGCGTTCGAAAATATGTGAGGTATTGTTTGAGACAGAACAGCACAGAGTAATCGATGCTATCGATATATAAATATTATATAGAGAAGAGAGTATGTTGTAACTGCTATTTCTAGTTATATATTCCTCATCGTATTCATCCCTAAGTTTGCACGGTTTCTCTCTCCAACGAAGATTGTAAATAAGGCAGCAACAGTTAAATTCCCAGTCACAGAAAACAAGTCACAGGTACATCGACTGTGCGCATCTCTAATCAACAGTATCTCTCTGCGTCGGGTGCACGCAAAAAGGTTCGCGATAAGACTTCTTAATTATAAAAATATAATTCTCAAAATTATGACTAATGCGCGCGTAGTCTAAATTCACCAATGCCGAAAAGTCTTGTGTATGCGTAACGCCCGGTAACGGCTTGCAACAAAGCCACTGCGCCAATAGGGAATACCAATTCCAATACAAAGCAAAAAGTACAAGTTCTCACTTTGTGCCTCTATAGTATAACGGAAGAATGTGTTAAGTGTGCGTTAAATAGCTGCGAGACTTATTGAAAGCGTAATCATTGGCTGTTGCTGCGGCTGCTGGCTGAGTGCATTCGATCTGTTAATCGCATATTGCCCGCTGCCTCTCTGCTGACGTCACAAAATGGTCTCGTTGATAAAAAACCAATTGCTCAAGCATTTGTCCATGTAAGTGTCATCATAAACGAGTTAGCATGAAATTGAATTATAAACTCTATGCTAATTATGGCCTTGCAGTGGTTGGTCGCTTGCTCGGTTGCTCCGGCGCCAGTTGCTGTGGGAAATTAAATTGATTTTTCCAAGCATTGCTGCTGCTGTTGCTCTGTTTTAGTTGCTGTTCTTGTTGTTGTTTTAATGTCGTTGTCTCTGCGTGTATTGGTGTGYCGTTCTGTTCTTGGTGTGTGTGTGTAGATTTTTGCAGCCTCTCAACACTTGTACTAGGGGGACGCTTGTTTATCGGCTGCCCCCTCTGCTTACTAAGAGTAACAAGTGAATGGTTGCGTCTCTCTGTCTCTCTCTGCCTCACTACTTTACTGCGGGCTTACAGCTGTTATCAACAAAAATAATATCTTCATTTACATATAAACATTTTAAACTGACTCCCCGTATTGCCAAGGATTGCAATATGTTTATGTGTGAACATATTGCAAATATATTTCTATATATACATATATATTTGATATATTTATGTGTGTATAAATATGTTATAAATATTGCCAGATGGATTAATAGAAGTTGTGCAGTAGCAAAATTTCATTGATTTTTGGTATAATATATTAATATTATAATGTACAAATTGTGAAATATGAAAATTGTAAGTGCTTATCAGTTAGTTTGTTTTAATGATAAGGTCAGTAGATTAAGTGCGTCTCAGAACTTTAGAACCCTCTTCTAGCCTCTGTTTATCATTCACTTCATTTACATACAGTCGTTATTTCAAAATTAATTAATTCAAAATAGTCACGAGTCTACTTAAAAAAATGATTGAAAAGTCTGAGCAGCAGCAATAGCTTCGAAGCAAACCCGTATAAATGATTTATCTTCAAAGATTAATAATAATTACAATACGAATATGTAAAATATCAGCACATAAATAAAATCCCTTGATAATTCGTACCAATTAATATTTCAAACATTCGAGAATCCGAAATATTTTTAGAGTCCCTTGAGTTTCGAAATAACGAAGTCGTCTATATAACCTATTCGTATTTCTCTTCCTATCCATTCACTCTTATAAATACTCTATATAATGCTATATATATGTCTGTCCAAATAAACATTTACGTATTTCTGAGTGTGTGTATTCACGCCATAAAAGGCTCACTTTCGTTTTCGCCCCGGTGGCTCAGTTTATTGTTGTCCTAAAACTTATTTTACTTTTTATTTACACACAATTAAGCTGCAAACAAACTAACTTTATGGTAGGACTTAAATGTTAATGCAATGCAAACTTGTTGCCTTTTATCTCTTATCACCCTCACCTATCCCCCCCTGCCCATTTGATAAAAATATAAGCAGCTGCTCCTTTAAGTGAAAAGTTTCTGCTGTACCTCAAATAAACTTTTCAACATTACAAACTTTTAAGCTGGCTCTTTCAAAGCATCTCCTTGGAATACTTAAGTAAATACATATTACTTATAAATAGATTATAAATACATGGGTATCAACTTAGGGAGCAGCTTATAAAACTTGACAGAAATTAATTGTGGCATTTCATTTAAAATTAAAGACATTCAAATCAAAAAAGAGAAATATATGTAGTTGCTAAGTAACTAGGCTGATATAAAAGTATATATAGTAATAACTTTTTATGCAATCTTATCTGATTGCTTTCCATATAACTCTAAAACCTTATCAATCATTCTGTTGGCATATCTATTAAATAACAGTTAATACATATCTATAGCCCATGAGAAATTAGGAATATGCAAGGCATACAGCTCAGTTCAAGAATATAGTATTCATAATTAAATCAAATATATAAGTAAAAGTATAAATGTATAAAATAAAATAAAGCAAACTAAATTGAATTCAATAACTAATAAAAAATTACCAACAATTAAACAGCAATTAATTTATACTAAGAGTGTCAAAACATAAATGTTTCAGCATTTGCACTTAAGTACTCAAGAACTTTCTTTATTTATGCAATACTAAAACAGACATCTCCTTTGTTGAGCTTGAGCAGGCAAATCAGCGTCGATTCAATCAATATTTAGATTTC